CAATGAATGTATTTAACTTTAAACCACTATCCATTACTATTATCCATATGATTGATCAGTTAACTAACTAATCGCTTTCTTTTTATTATGTAGCCTCAAGACAACTTGTAGAACTACCGAACCTACCTCCTTCCAATCTATCTACGTGAGAAGCGTCATATGGAAGATATATTGAATTTTAGTAATAGTCATATAATGTAAAGGAGAACGTAGTTAGTAATTAAAAAAATTTCAAAAAAAGAAGTTATAGCGTAAAAAGATATATGTTTGTAAAATGTAAAAAAAAATCATAAATAAATAAGTCTTATTTTTTCTCGTTAAACAAAGAATCCTCAATTCTATTATTCATAACTGATAATAAAATGTAAATTGATCTTGCTTTGTTATAATTATTACCGACTGCACTCGAACGACTGGTTACTGTGGCTGAATGCTTGTTGATCAATATTACTGAAAAATATCATTTCTGTCGGATCTGACATTTCTAACATTTCTGACAGAACCTTTAAACCATTACTACCTTTTGCATCATTTCGGCTATCTTCAGATCAGCTTTACCCCATCATTGATATTTTTAACAGTTAAGAAAAGATTAATTAAGGGTAAATAGATAATTCTAAATAGAAATTAAGTGTATAAATAGACTTAGCTTTCTCTCCTGTTTTGGATATCTTCTCTTAAGAGCACTGAATGAAAGTTGAATTCCTTGAATATTATTAATAAAGATACCGATCCCCTTTCAAATTAAATATTGTTTATTATAAATTTGTTAAATCGACATTCATAAATCCTCTGTAAAACATATCTTACTGCCTTCAAGCTTCCGCAAAATAATCATGACTGAATTTACTTATATGAATTGTGAGGAATACAACGCTAACACTCCTGAAAAAAGAAATGAAGTTATTTTCATTGTTGATCAAATTGCCTTTGCAAATGCTCGAGCCTTACTAAACGATGATGATGACAATGATAATATAAATTGGAATGAAGTTGAACCTAAAGATTTTGACCCTTATAGTAATTCCTTTCAAACAACACATGATGATATAGATGTAGAAATTGAAAGGACCTTCATGCAAAGTCTAAATTTAACACCATGTGTAGTCGTAGATACTATTCAAAGTGAAATAAAACATTGTAATAGTACAGCAAATCTCCAACAATTGGAACAAATGATAGGGACATGGGAGATAGATGCAGATGCAGTTGAAGATGTTAAGAGTAATCTTAATCAGCTTGGAGTATGCTATTATCATTTTCTTTTTGATCAAAACCAACTTCATGATAAAGGCATGAAACAATCACGTTTAATTGAGCAGAGCATTGTTCATTTTCGCTTCTGCATTTTTTGTAATAAGAAAAAATGTTTTTTCAGCTGTGGTAATAGCTGTGAGAAGCATTCATGGAGCATCAATAAGCATAATATTCAAGTACCTTGTGTTGGTGTTTATAACTGTTCTGCATTTACTGAGGGATCTATTGCAAAAAAGTCATCTTCAGGCTATCGTGCATATTATATCTTCTCAAAATGCTTTCAACAACAGGGCGGACATTTGTATGAAAGACTAGGTAAAGGCCAAAAAATCATATCATGTACTGAACGTGAAAAACATTGTGATGATACAAATGACGCTCTAAAACATATCAAAAGATGGGTAATATCCGTAGCAGAGTCAGGTAATAATAAGTTGCAAGAAAGACTTCTATCTCTAATAACTTCAACATTAGCTGTTTTTAACAATAAGACAATAGAGGAAAACCTATCAGAAATGGAAGCGGAAAAACTTCCGAGTAAATTACTTGTTAGAACAGCATTAAAAATGGGAAAAGTTGAATCAAATAAGTTAAAAAAGGAAAGATCTCATATAGTAACTTTGGAAAAGGCTTCAATGATGGGAGAAAAATTAGGAAGAGAAGTTTTATTTTCACGTTCTGAAATTCAACAAAATATTAGTCAATTAGAAAACCCGAGTTCATATGAAAGTTATTTCAATGCATTACCCAAAA